TGGGAGCTGTATGTGGGGGGGGGGGGGGTGTGTTTATCCTTTTTCCCATTTAAAGCCACTACTTATTGTGTTAGTCTTTCTTCATCTTAACCTTCCACGATAAATACCCGTGGGTCCAGGTCTGGGTTGGACATAGAGAGGGAACTGGTGGTTGCTTGGGAGTTTTAAAGAGATTAAAAATGTTTTGAGGATTACAGTGTGGTAATCTGGGCTGGCTCAATCAGGTCACTTTGTGAGGCAGCAACCCTCTTGCTTCTTCACACACTACACTGAACAGTGAATCCAATTAAAACACTGATTTGCATTATCGTTTTTTTCCCCCGAATGTTTAATCACAGTTGAATAACTGGATAAAACCGCATTCGAGTATGTTCCGAGTCCGACAGACATAGTTCGTTATCTTACCCCAAAGGTCACAAGTGCTCGAGAAAATCATGTCCTACTTCTGACAACTTACATAACTTTTTACACTGTTGACGATGGATAAGATACAAGATAAACCTTCGTCGCAGCATGCAGCATCGGGGGAAAAAAAAACCAGGAACACCCTACGAGACTGGCGTCAAACCCAAAGCTCAGGGGCTAGATCCGACCCATCAAATCATTTCATGTGGCTCACAAAAGTGTACTGTGCTTCTTGATAATGCACTTGTTCCATTCATTTTGGCAGAAATAATTTTGTAACAGATATTTCAAGCACTGGTTTTCCCAAATTCCTTCTTAACATAAATTGGACAATATTTGTATATGTTTTTTGTAAGCACGACTTTAAACAAATTTTATCCATCCATCCATTTTTAACACCGTCTATCCTGAACAGGGTTGCGGGGAGTTGCTGGAGCCTATCCCAGCTGACTATGGGCAGAAGGTAGACTGCACCCTGAACTGGTCGCCTGTCAGTCACAGGACACATATAGAGACAAACGACCATCCGCACCCACATTCACACCGTCACTGAGTGGGAACCGATTCCACACTGCCTGCACACAAGTCCGGCGTGTGTACCACTACACGTTCAGTGACGATAAATTAAATTTATGAAATAAAAAATCGGTCAGGACAATCAAATGCATTACTACTTGTGTATGTAATAATATGATGAGGTGATTATACAATTCAATGATTTCCACAGGCATAACGGCGCTCCTGAAGTAAACCTTAACAACGACATCCCTGTGACAAAATTTAGTTTGACATGCCCGCTTTGCCTGCAAACCCTTTGGATAAATTTAAACATAAAATTTGCTAAATTCTTTTTTTTCACATCTGACTTCAACAGAGAAACAATTGAAAATAAGGAAAAAAAAAACCCTGCCTGAATGTTCTATGCTCTATTTTTATTTTGTCCGTTAGTGAGCAGAATGCTGTGCGGAGGAGTTGTCATTCTTGAAAAATGACACAAAAACTTATCTGGACAGTATTCTATAAATTGATTACTGTCAGCACTTGCTCTGAGGTTTCTGCAGAACATTAGTAATAATCACCTGAAGCAAAGAAAAAAAAAAAAAACCCTGCCTGAATGTTCTATGCTCTATTTTTAAAATGAATGGCAAGTAATAACATCCTCAGTCTGCTTTATACAATTACTATCAGCGTATTGTACTAAAAGCTCTACTGATTCACCAATATAGACATCCTTTTCATATTGAAACATGTGGAATGCCTTGGAGTGTAATTGCGCAATCAAAACAACGAATTACATCTTAAGGTTTCTGTGCCTTGAGCACTTGACACGTTTTACAGACATATTCTTCTTGCTCCGAGGACCATGTCTCAACAAGCTTCCACTTAAGACATAACAAACACAACCTCTGCCAACCAAGGCCTTGACTCTGGTATTCCCTCTGTGCATTCATCCAAAAAGCTTTTTTTTTTTTTTTTTTTTGATCCGACGTTAGGCACACACGAATACAGAAAGTGCACTGATGATTTACCGGTAATTAAAAAGAAAAGAAGTGCAAATCGTGCCGTTTTTAGAGTGGAGGGGGCACGGGCGGTACCAGCAAGTGGCACCGAACACATGTTTTGGGGTTGCACACTTTACTTACTATCTTTCATTTGATTGTTTTATATATCTGGCCCGAAGCTTTTGCATACAAATATTTACTGTATTTATGACTTACGGCATCAGTGAAATACGCTATGGCACGTTCCGACTTCTATAAAAAAAAAAAAAAAAACTGATTATGCTGTCGTTGCATGAACGAAACTGTTGTAAACTGTTATCGCTTTTATTTGGAGTTCAACCAAAATGTTATCTTCCCTTACATGCGTGTCAGGCATCAGCAGTTGAACAGTTAGAAATGTCAAAATGTTGTAATGTAACATTATTTCCATCTATGCGTTGGTTTGGGTGAGAGGCGGCGTACACCCTGGACTGGTCACCAGCCAATCGCAACTTGACAAACATAAATTCATGCTCACAATCATACCTACTGGAAATTAAGAGTTGTTAATCAATTAAGAGTATATGCTTAAGGAATGAGGGAGTGTTTATATATACTGTTCTGTAATTTTTAAACATTTTATTTTTTAAATGATTTTAATTATTATTTTGGAAGTATTATATTAAGTCTTGAGCGTGAATTTCAAGTGTCTTGGCGTAGAGTCTGTCAACTCCATCGGTGCCCTGTTGCTTGAAATATTGCTGCCGTATGAAGAATTGTGGGTAATATCCTTTCATAAAGGCTGGTAAGGAGTAACCTTTGCTAAAACAAAGCTTAAAGGTTGCATTCAGGGATTTCGAATTTGAACGACCAATCCTCCAAGTATCATCATCTCACTCTGACCCGATAGGAAAGTTGACAAAAAAGAGAATCCGAAAATGGCCAAAGTTTCCACTGTCATTAGCCAGGAGGATGTCATTAAAAACTCTTAACACTTATACATGGTTACATTAATACATGGAGAACATGCAAATGTCACTGAGCTGAGCCTCAGATTCAAAACCAGGACCTCTCAACGGTTGGGCAAGTGCACTAAACACGAAGGTCATTTCACGTTATTGAAATTGGGAATAACGTGTTTTAAAAATAAAACAAGTTTGGAAGTCAACCACCATCCCGGAATGGATTCTGTTGAACTTTAGCGATTCAGCTGTTCATGCACACGATAGGGACTCAAAACGCTCTCACATACCTGCACAGATCTACAAACGCTTGGAAATTCAGCTTCTTCATCTTCTTCTCACTGAGCCAGTAGCCGACTCTCCGGCCTTTTAGGAAAGTTTGCATCTCCAGTGATGCTCCTGGAACCCTTCCCTGGACGTGAAGGATGTGATTGACTCACTGGCTGGCTGACTGAATGAGGGATCGACCTAAAAAAAACAGGAGAGCTGTGTAAAGTCTCTCACCACTCCAATCCTGTTGGATTGTGTCGTACACAAATACAGACACCCATCACAGGTATGTCAAGTCTACGACTAACACAACATAACAAATACAATGACAACCTGGAAGCATGACAGATTATGTGGAGCATCAGTCAAACTCATGCACGCGCCCCTCCAAGCTAACTTCACTTGCTAATGTTAGCTGGCTAGCTTGCTAGTCCAAACGATGGCACAACGCAAGACCGCAAGCGGGCTGCAAAAACGAGTGGGCAGGCCGATGTGTATATGTTGCATGTACAACGTTTCAACGCGCGTTCGCTCAGACGTGAAATAAGCGCCGGGGCTGCGAATAACGCTCGCGATGAGGCGCCGCGGAGAGCTAACTAACCTGGCACTTTTGGCAGTCCGCCCCTGAATTGACGTCCTCTTCAGGAACTAGCTCGGGTAGTTTCCCATTCTGGGCCCGCCAGTTGGAGCAAAGGGAGAAGTTTCCAGGGAAGGTGACAGTTGACAGGAACAGCTGGACCCACGTTGCAATGTTGCTGGTGCTTTCTCCCCGCACCTACGGGCTCGACTGACTGACTGGGACTGACTGCACACACCCAGGATCCAGGAGGCTGGTGCTGCCTCCAAGTGCTGCTCGGAAATTAGCACTCCCTATTTCGTTTTCGTTCTTTTTCGTGCTCTGGTTGCCATTACTTTGCGCCTCACTTGTTTATTCCTTCACTTCTTTCATAGCAAAGGCCAAATTGGCGATAAACTGCCCAAAACAAGTCTTCTTTTTCCCATTTCATTGTAAAATTACCCAACATTAATTTGTGATAAAGGATAAAAATAAATTTCCGATAGTATTCAAAAGCAACCACATGTGGTCAAAGAAGTTGAGCCTGTGGTTCCTGTTGGTCCAGCATATCATGATGACGAAGTCCAGTTTTTCCACATTTATTGAGCCAAAGCATCCACTTTACATGACAAAAACCTCAAAGCACGCCACCCAAAAAATGTCACGAAAAGTATGCATACTGAAATAATGATGATAATGATCTCGTCTCAATGCACTCCCAAAATAACTTAATTTATAAGTGTAACATTTGGGCCTGAATAATTGCACACAAAACTATTATTCTCTTGAATGCCGCAGTTTAAATGGAAACAGACTCTACACGGGTTAATTATGCCATCTCCTGGAAATGGAAAAGTATTTAATATTTTATTATTGTTTATTATTATGATGATGATGATGATTATTATTATATTATTGTTATTATTAATTTCATACTACGAGACCCTCGTGAGGGTCTATTTTGGATGTATTATTTTATTTCATTTTTCCGACCTTTTGTTGGACCGTCGCACCACAAGTGAAAAACAATCATTCCCCTGCAAAAAAAAAAAAAAAAAAAATCAAGTAGTGGCGCCCTCTTTTGGAACAGTTTTGCAAACACTTGACATTCCACAAGAAAACATCCAGTACGTACTCGGTAAAAAATAAATAAAATAAAATAAAATAGTTTGTTTAATCTATTTCAAGATGAATTGACAAGAGGACGTTGAAATAAATCCAATCATATTTATCGAGTAATAATAATAATCCTACATTTTATTTAGAAGCGCCTTTCAAACACGCAAGGACAATTTTCAATCAAGAACAAAACAATAAAACCACAAATAAAATTATAAATCATAAAAGAAGAGATTAATTTAAATTGGGTATGTGATTTTGAATAGGTGGGTTTTGAGATGGGATTTGAATGTGGGAAGAGAATCAATATTACGGATGTTGGGTGGAAGTGAGTTCCAGAGTTTGGGGGCAGAGCGGCTCAAAGTTCTGCACCCCATCGTGTTGAGAAGGGCAGAGTTTACAGAGAGGTGGGGGTAGGATGAGGACCTGAGGGAACGAGAGGGAACGGAAATTTGAAGAAGATCAACCCCCCCCCCACACACACACACACACACCAAGTCAAGTCAAGCTTTATTGTCAAATATGTTCTATGTGCAACACACACACACACACACACTAGGCGCTGAGAGATTGTAGGTTCACCCCATGTTGGGCAAACCTAGAAGTGCACTCTGCTACCAGAGCGACTTGTTATTTTTTTTATTTTATTTTTTTTTCGTTTGAACATCAGCTTTATTGAAAGGAGGAAAAAAGCGACGTCTGCACCGCAGCACGATTGAGAACACACTTTTTTTATCAGAGCGACTTGGATTTATTGGCAAATCGCTACCGTGACGTATTTTCCGCCACGTGGTATTGCCTCCAAACTCCCGCCCGGAACTACAACTTTGTTTTTTCAGATTCAGAAAACTTTATTTATCCCCGTGGGGCAATTAGAGTTGTACGAGAGCGGCTTATTGTAGAGACAGTAGGAGCAAGGAAAGACATAGGATAAGAGTAGCTTTTGCGGCAGCTGCAGCACCGCGAGCAAACAAATACACTCGTTTTAGCCTCGGCATTTTCTCCTCGGTCATGGCAGGGACAGACACAGCGGACTCGCACCTTGACGACTTCTTTGAAAACGAGGAGGAACTGGAGCATGCTTTGTGCGTACTGGCAGGAAGTGACTCCGAAAACTGTTCTTATCCCCGTGTAAGAAACATGCCCTTTGTCCTCCATCCATGCAAAGGAATGCTGTGCTCACGTAAAACACACTTATGTCGAATTGAATTTGATTTCATGTCTGGATGACGGTCGTGTTGATCTTGGCCACGTTCTGCTGACTTTTAAGATCGATTTTGCGTGTGTGTTTTTGCAGGGCTATGTGAAGAGGCAGGCGGTGTTTGCATGCAACACGTGCACGCCCAATGCATCACAGCCTGCTGGCATTTGCCTGGCGTGTGTCAACAAATGTCATGATGGGCATGACATCTTCGAATTGTACACTAAAAGGTATGCTGTTAAACTCGAATTTAACTGCCTTGTCGAAACAAATACAGTGCAGCCCAGATTCTGGCTAGCAGACATGATGGCGTGCCATGTTTTGAAAAGAAAATGCAACTTCCGGCAGCGTGTATGCAGCTAGATAAAGCTAACACACTCTTCAAATTGTTTCTTGTTTCACTGGTTCAATTCCCTGAAAAAGAAGGAACAGTTATCGATGTTGTACGCTCCTGAAAAGAAATGCTGTTGATGCTTCATTTTAAATTCGGGCTGAAGAATAAATCAAATTACATCAGATTGTCGTAAAAAATTGCCAAACCTGCAATTTGAGAACCCCCCCCCCCGCCTTCATTCCAGTCAGTTCGGTAGTTTTGTTTATTTTTTTAAATTTATATAGTGTCTTAGTTCAGTGTTCATAATGTAGTCCACCTTTCCAATCATGTTTCACAAAAAAAAAAAAAGTTGAGATAAAGCCACAGATGTGTTTGCATTATTCTGGGTAATCTTTTGTTTTAATGATTGACTGATTTATGTTTGCCACACTTGTTTGGTAGAATTTTGTCAAGTTGTCCCAATGAACGCATTGAAGACTGCAAGTCCAAGTGTTGAGCAGATTAACAACTTTATGTGAAGTAGTTCAATGTTTCTCTTCCTTTTTTTCTTAACAGAAATTTTCGATGTGATTGTGGAAATGGCAAATTTGGGGATTTCCAGTGTCAGCTCATTCCGGTGAGAATTTTCACTCTCTCTCTCTCTCTCTCTCTCTCTCTCTCTCTCTCTCTCTCTCTCTCTCTCTCTCTCTCTCATAACTTTAAATATAGACGGTCCAGAACATTAGGTACACTTGATTCACGACATGTAACCCAGTTCAAGTGGTGTATCATTCATACAAAACAGTTTGATCGACATATAGTTTTTTTTTTTTTTTTTTTTTTATATATTCTAGGATGATGCACAATGCAATTGGGTGTCCTTGTCTATCATAACAGGACACATGAAAAGTCTTAAGAACCCATGATTGAAATTAGACAGGAAATGGGCCATTTTAGTTTGAAGTGGCCATTTTGGGGCAGTTCCAAAACATGTCATTTGATGAACTCATATGAGAGAATTTGCTGAAATGTGCGTCAATCACAAGTGGATACACTATACTTGCCACTGACATGACATAGTAGATTTTATTCACTTCCTCTTTCTATTTTTAAGACCATTCTTAGTTTCATTTTCCTTTTGGGATCTTCATTTGTGAGGTGGAATATCTTGGATCTTTGTCACGTCGCCACTCATCATTTGGGGCACCTTTACTTCAAATTCATCTAACATTACTGTCTCCAAAATAATCCACAAATGAATATATTATTAAAATCATAATTTGCAGTTCAAGATAGCAGCAGTGTGCTCTCTGCTTATAATTTATTGTTACCGCACTGTTTAGTGTAATGTGTTCTGTTGCACTGTTACCAACATGACAATTACGAGAAGTACCTTATCACAATTTGTACCATTGACCTGTACAGTGGCACCTCCAAAGTAAAACGCCCCACAATATGTCTCAATTGTCGAATAAAACTTGGATGTCAGAACATTTTATTTCATCTAATCAAAGTGTCACAAATAATACACAAAATGTATCAATTGCATCCATACATTTTAAACGTAGCCAAATGCACAATGAGTGACAAAGACCTCTCATATCGGACTTCATGAGGCTTATTTATATTTTGCTTATCGTGGTCACCCTTTGCTCTGGCAGATCAAAGATGAGGAAAACGCAAAAAACCTTTACAATCACAACTTCTTCGGCCGCTACTGCTCGTGCGACCGGCCATTTCCTGACCAGGAGGATAAGGTATGCCGTTTGTTCATTTCTGCTCCTGAATTTGAAGTTACTTCTGATGTTTACTAAATTTAAGAAATTTCTCCACAGGTCAATGATGAGATGATTCAGTGTGTCATCTGTGAGGATTGGTTTCATACCAGGGTAAATATTACCTCACCCTTGACGCCTCTTGCGTATGTGTGTGTGGTCCGGGGTTATTATAGTTGTAATTATCGTTACTATTTTTTTTATTTCATTTCGTTTTGTAAATGTCATTAGTTTTAAGTAGTATTCAGAACAGCTTTGTTAGTTTGTATCTTTTTTAGGGTTTTTTTCTAGTTAGTTTTTGTTTTAAAAAACATGGTGTTTTACTTGTGTGCAAGATCAAAAAAACACCATGGTACGTGCTGTGTAGTAAAAATCCATACAAATATATTATTTAAAAAATGTTTAGAATACAGGGGGTAAAAATTGGTGTACTGTATATAATTGTTTCATATATGAAACAAAAAAGGAAAGCACTTTTTAACTAGCGTTGCATTTTGGTCTGAGCTAAGGTACAAAAGCAGGGGCTAGCCATTTGAGCCAAAACCACACGCAAACCCATCTCATCGGAGGAGCGTCTGGTTTTTGTTGGCTGCGGCTCGATGACCTCGCTTCTGTGCGATACACATTAAGGGGACCACAACTCCCCGACGGCTGTTAGACATTCTCTTCTTCCGACTAACGGCCTTGCAGTAATATTGAAATAATTACAAATAAAATCCACGCCAAGAGCTCATGTATTAAATTAAGTGCCCTGTGATTGACTGGTGACCAGCAATATGTAAGGAGCTCATGTATTAAATTAAGTGCCAAAGATGAAACACAAGGGACATTTCAAGCTACAGTGACATAAATTTCATCCAAAAGCCAAATATCCTTAACTTTTTGTGAGTAGTGCATAGCGATTTCAAATGAGCGTAATCTCTCTATTGCAAGATCTCTACGCGTCAGGGAGCTTGCATTGGGGATATACAGACTGTACGCTGGTCTTGCTGTCAATTCTGGCACTTGAAACAGGTATCTGGTCCCGGTCGCCAGTCTCTTTAAGTTCCTGGATGGGCGTCTGTGACTTGGCTACGTGCCCTGTGATTGACTGGTGACCAGCAATATGTAATCGAGAATAGTCCTTCGCTCACCTGTGAGTCATATGAGGACAAATAGTATGAAAAATGGATGGCTTGTGTTAGATGATGCTTGCATTCTAATGCGCGTTCATCTGATGACATTAAGCATTTGCAGTGCGAAGTGGCGGAGATGGATGAGATGGTATGCGAGGACTGCATGAACAAGGCTCCTTTTCTGTGGACATACGCTGCTCACCATTCAGGTATTTCTCCTTCCTAGGTGATAGCAGCAAACGCTCAAGTACCAATCGTGTCGCTTTGGTGATATTTTTGTTTCCTTTTTGGTTTCAGCCGAGATGCAGGAGGGTGAAAATGGGAACGTAGAGGAAGTAGAAGAAAATGAAGACATTTTGGAGTCGAGTGAAATTAGCCATGAAGAACCTTCCACCAGTCTTGAGCAGAAGGAAAAGGAGCAGGAGGTAGGGCAACCCCAACATACAAGATTTCAACATTATGGATGGCATAAAAAGATTTCTATTTTTCCATATTTCCCATTGTTTTTCTTTCATATTTAAAAATAGATTTTAAAATGCTATGTTACATTCAAGCTTACATGTTTCTACATTCAAACTTGGAGTATGTATTTTCTCAAGCTCTTGTGAAACCCCAGAAGTCCTTCATGAGGGCGAGCTTCATATATATTAAAAAAATAATAAAGGAATGGGGCTCTAGTCTAGAGTTTACTGCAAAACTAAACACACAACCAAATTAATTACACACATTTTTTCTTCAAATACAAGATGTACTTCTTTTTAGAAACACTGCTAATGCTAGCAGTCAATATAAAATTACAGTGACATGCTAATAGCAAATTAGCATTGATTTTTGGGAGTGATAGTCCTTCAAATAATGAATATTTACACACAAACACTGTAGGAACGCACACAGACAGGTAATATAACAACACTTAAAGGCATATATTCATCTGCAAATTTGCAGTCGACAGCAGCAAAATTGGGGGGGAAATTAAAAAAGTGTTTCATTGCTAATATTTAAATGTTATTTTGTTTGAAAGCGTTTCCTTTTATTTAATTTGTTTCACGTTATATTTCAAGTTGAGTTTTGGTAGCTGAATACATCCTAAATTCCCAAATCAATGAATTGCATTTTAATCATTTCAATATCAATCAAAATAAGTTCTACTACCGCACATGGCAAATTTTCGTTTATTGTGTGTGGGCTTGGAACGTACTCCCCGCAATAAATGGTAGTTCACGTTAATATCAGTCTTCCTTTAATCATGCCAAAATTGGTAATGTACTAAAACCATGATGACCAAATACATGTTTATGAACAGAATGAACATATGTATGCAGTATTTCTTGTAGTTAGCAACCGTAGACTTCCAGTTATTTATACACTCCTGTGTGATGTGGAAGGCTTTGAAATACACTATCGTGTAATGTAGAATCCGTCACGATGGATTCATGCGATGCACGGAGCAGATGTGCAGCGTTACTGCCGATTTTTCTATGTTGTGGTCTGATGTGGCAGCCGCTGCTTTGTAGCTTGCCACCTGATGGCGCAGAAGAGCAACGTGACAGGACAGCGAGCAGGCCTTCTCTTGGGTAATTAGAGGAGACGTGACCCACAAGGCCCCTCTGTCTCTGACTCTGCAGACAGCTTTGGCTGCGCTTCACAGGCCAGCTTTACTGTAAAGCGCTCATTTTCACCGCCCGATCATCTCGCCCTCGCTGGGTGAATCTTGTGTTTTATGGAGCCGTGTCACGCCATAACTCACAGCCCTCGTCTCACGGCAGGGAACGCCGACCAGGAGCTTTCCCTGTAAGCGGAGCTACGATGACATGACAGACTGCCCCAACGAGATCAAAACGGTGGCTTGCAAGCTGAAGTATTTTCAGACGCTGCATGTGTCGACGCCTCAAAAGGGGGCGGTGTTCTGGCCTTCCAAGTGGCGCGCTCTGCTGTGCACCTGCACGAGCTGCAAGGTGGGTCTCAAGCATCAGGCTGGCTCAGGGGCGTATGGCCCGTGGCTCCGTTCTTTAATCCAGCCCGCCGAGCATTTACAGTGTTTACAATTAAGTAGTGTCATATTTGGTGCATTCATTTAACCCTAACATTGGTTGATCATTATGTATTTATTTCATCATTTGTATTTTTAAAATCTCCTTGTCTAATTCAATCATTTAATTGATTTTGAACAATTTTACATTGCATGACATTTATTAACGAATTAATGAATAACATATTTTAAGCTTTAACTTCCCCCTACTCTGGTTTCATTATGATCTATTTATTTGGTTGATTTTTCATTTCTTTATGTACTTCGTTTGAAATGAAATCTCAAGTCAATGTAATTGAATCATAATACATTTTTATTCAACTATTTAGTTTGCTGTGTGACCAAATCAGTAATTCGTAAAGCAAATAAAAATTGGTTAACTGATTTTTATCTTCATTTTGAGTCATTCAGCTCATTAGATAGTGTGCAAAAGGAGTTTTTTTTAAAGTAGGTTTTTTTATGTAATATTTTTATGTAATAAAATAATGGCTTATTTAAAGGAGCTATCACCGGAAAAAAAACCCTAAACTTTTTGTAGTATTTGTTAAAACTGTCAATATGACCTGACAAGTACTTAAGTAAAATCACCTGTGAAAAAATAGCCTTCTCTGGGCCTATCTTATGCCTTTCATTCGATTTGCAAAAAAAATAAATAAATAATAATCACACCCTACAAAAAAACCCCAAACAAAAACAACCAGAGATGTCAAACTTATCTCATCCACTCAGGGAGCACACTTGAACCCATAACAGTGTTATAGTAACACTTCATCCCGAGCAAGTCATGCTACGAATGACTGTCCATTTTAAAAATACACGTTTGCTCACCCCCGCACTAGCCCTTCTATTTATGCTTATCAGAATGTTCCGTTGTATAATACATGTGTCATACCTGTGGCACACAGAGGGCTTATGTAGCCTCACATGTTCACTTCCTCATGGACCTTTCTGATTCGGTTCTGGCCTACGAGAGACGAGGCCTGAATGAGCCGTTTGGGAAGCACCCGCTGATGACGCTGACCAGTTCAATGAACCGAGTCCAGCAGCTCGAGTTCATTTATGGTGAGAACGACTGCAATTTTTCTCTGTCGCTACACTTGACATTTATGTGCTCCGATTAATCACGCTTCCTTCCTTTTAGGTTGTAATGAGATGGCGACTGCAATAACTGCATTATTTGACAAATGTGCAGCAGAAAAAAAGGTAAGGTCCAACCGGATGAGCCAGGGAAGGGCAAACTTTTGTGCTCAAGGGCTTTGTATCATTTTTAAAACAGATAACGGGCAAGGTGACTATGACTGGATCCGACTCTTGCAGTTCGCTGTCACATTTTCCTTTTATTGTCCGGTGATACATTATTTGTGTTGTTTCCCTTCAGGTAGTCACCACGGAAGCAGTGTATGAGCTTTTCGAGGAGCTGCAGGCCAAAAAACAGCGCAGGACCAACACGGGCTACGAGTGACTGAAGCCGGGCCAGAAAAGCAGGCCAAAAAACAGCGCAGGACCAACACGGGCTACGAGTGACTGAAGCCGGGCCATGCCGCAGTCCTGCGGTGGCGCTAATGAAAACTGTGAATGTGTTTCTTTTTCCCTTTGTTGGGGGGAAAAAAAGGAGTGTTTATGCTGCAATCGTTCTAGAAGAAATAGTGCAAATGTTGGAAGCACACTTGTTTCTGTTCAAGATGCCTCAACTTTGAAGTTAGTTTTGACTTAGCGCATGTGCATTTGTGACCTGTTTTGTATCAGCACTGCAGCCTTGGAAAAAGTCTGTTCAAGACGTGTTGCTAAGTGTTTATATGAGGTAAGTTGTCTTTGTCGGCAATTTAATAAAGAAAAGTTAACCATTCACCGGTGAGAGTCATGGGTTCAATTGAAAAAAAAAAAAACTGACAAGTTCATTTCATAATATCAAACCAGTTTATTTTTCAGGACCACTGTTGCACACCTTTTGAGGCGCCAGTAGAAAAATAGATTCACTGAAACTAAATGCAACATAATTAGTCTACAAACATCGATTGCTAAGATCCCATACAAGTACGATGTACCTGTGAGGATCCAACACAATGTTTCAGATGATTCAACTACAAAAAAAAAAAAAAAAGACAACCAAAGGTGCTAAATAACATCAATGTACACAAAAGGGAGCTACAACTATCTGATGCAGGCTGGTAAGCTGGTAGAAAAGAGCTTGCATAGACATCAAGGTCTCCAATAAAAACCCAACTGCAGGCAGGGAAGGCACTGACCTCTCTACAGCAAAGAGTAAAACAACCACTTTTAGTCAACGGAACGTCCTCTTGGAATAGTCAACTACAACACAACATGTATAGCGAGGAATCGAGAAAAGTTTAGTGTTTCACCCCCCACCCCAGATGACAAAAAAAAGGTGATTATTCTGCATTGGCAATCTTCAGATTCGCGCAAAAAAAGGATAATTTACACCACCGACAACAGTGAGCAAATTGCCCCAAATGGAGAACATTTACAAAGGAAATAACTCTGAGACACAATCTTAAGAGCACATTCGCAGCGAGCTTTCATGACAGGACCAACTTACACTGTCACATGAACACAACGACCACTTCAATGTAATCGAAACCAGAAACAAGTGACGCTTGATTTGGTTATGTACAATTTTTCCACTGGAGCGACATGCGCCAGCAGCCTTTCTTCACGTCAACGCAGGATTCCTTTTGTTTCAACTTGTTCCTTTTCCCCTTAAAACAATGACTCTCATGCAGGCATGTGAGCTTCAGTCGTGGACTTGCATGGTTCTGGAGCTACAAGCAGCTGCAGCATTTTTGGCCACAGTACTTCATTGAACAGTATGACCGCTGACTGTGCGAGGCCAGTGAGATGGTGGCCAGATGGTTGTCCATCCGGTCACTTAGTTCAGTGATTCCCGACCACATATCCAGTTTCACTTCTTGACAACAAAACATGTATCCTTGTTCAACTATGCCGGGAATGTGTCCAATGACAGAACAATTAAATGCTCTTCCACTAGATGGCAGAATATGCAATTATTTTGCTTTTTCACCTGTTATTCATACAACAGAATATCTTTGTGGTCAATTTAACAGGCCCAGCTTTCACTTACAGAAAGTGTGTGTTGGTATGTATAGACGTGAAACATTTTTTCAATTGGCTGTATATGAACCTTTTCTTCATTAAGATAGGGCAACACTGTTAAATGTGAATTCACAAGGGGTTTGCGATAGAATGACATCATAGAGAAAACTGAGTTTGAAGGTAGCTGAAATGGAATATTCAGAGTACTGGTTAAGGCTTCAAGATTTGACTACTTGATGCTATTAGATTAGGAGGAGGAAGGAGCGCAAGCACACAGCCTGCTGTCCTCCTCCTGATATGTACAAAGACACCAGGCTGAAAATGTGCGAATACAGTACTGAGATTGTCACCACACCTTGGTGCGTGCGTGTGTGTGTTTACGTTGCAAGAAGACACGCCTGCTACCGTTATAAGTTTCTTTCTATGCAACAGCTGAGGCTGAGTGTTCAAATCTGGGCTGCTTCTTGCCTTAATTGAAGACTCAGTTTTGTCCCCGGGTGAGAATGTGAGTGTGAATGGTTGTCTATATGTGCAGTTGGCTGGCAAACAGTCCAGGGCGTACCTCGCCTCTCGCCCAAAGTCAGATTGTATAAGCTCCGGCTCACCCGTGTCCCTCGCAAGGATAAGCGGTGTAGAAGGGATCGATTGATGAGAGGATGCAGAAGGTTTTCTAGGCTGTCACCTAAAAAGAAACCTAAATAATATACTTGTAGGAAAGACGGTCTTACTGTAACCGCGAGAAGACCATACTATTGTAATAGCCTGCAATCAAGTCGCTCTGATTGTTTGGACGTGGCAGTCAGCCCTACTTCGACTAGTTGCACGGGATGCTACAGAGAACCACTGGTAGAAGACAAGCGGACATTTCCATATGATTTTTATCACAATTCTCTCCTCCAGGCTGTGTGGCTTTTCATAAATGAACAATCCTATCCTACAATCTGACACTCATCAACATGAACGGCGCCTGTCTGACAACCACTTGGCGACTGAGCTACATTAAGGGACTGCCCCAACCAACAAATCGGCACACGGATCCATCCGGCTAAGTGACCTCGAAATGGGACACTTTGCCCTTCAACTCTGTGCGATGGATGGAGTCAAGTGGCAGAGGTAGGACAATAAGGACTTCCTATAGATGGCAATCACCTTTCCCCATGCTTCTGTTGAACACACACGCATGCACGCACGCACGCGCACACACACACATTTAGTGCTTGGCCATTCAATCAAATGAGCTGTCAGTCATTCCCTTTTCCCAACTCAATTGCTGGGGTTAAAGTGCAGATTTTTTGTACGGGTAGTCAGGCTTGCTGGGTGACCTGCGGTCTCTGGCCATGTCCTCGCTGACACTGTTCCTGTGAGGCTGCTGAAGGGGCCCCGGGCCAGATGACTCCACAGCAAGAACCATCTCCTCTGGGGCATCTCGAGGTCCGGCCATTCTGTCCTCGTAGACGTCCATGTTTCCGCTGGGCGAGCGCAGGTGGCCCAAGCCGTGAGTCAGGTCGGTCTCGTTTGAGCGGCCCCTCGGCGCGTGTCCCATCCTGGGCTGCGGCCCCGAGGGGTTAACGGCATCATGCCTCTGAGGGGCCATCCCGAGGACATCCAGCCGTAGTGGGTCCGGGCCAGTCCGTCCCTGCGCTTGGCTGTGGGACTGAGAGTCCGTAATGTAAGTGGGTGTAAAGGGTCCCGATGGGGCGCAGCTGTGGCTGTAGAGGTCCGGTCCTGCGAACGTGGACAGAGTGTGCGCGGGGGCCGGAGATGAAGGTCGACGGGAGAAGTCGTACAGGTCGGGAAACTCCGCTTGCATCTCCAGCTTGGGTTCGGGGGCGTGTCTTTTGCAGGAGTGTCCGTGCCCAGGGCCGTGGTTGTGACTGTGGCGGACGGAGGGGCAGGGCCCATGGGGCAGATGAAGACCCGGGGGGCCCATGGGGCTGTGAGGGCTTTCACGGTCCATCTCTGCTATGTGCTGCTCCCTCAGCGACATGACCGAGACGCCCAGCGCGATGTCGGGCATGAACTCCCTCATAACGGGCTCCCTGCCCATCTGAAACAGAAGACATGTTTTGTGACACTACCTTTTAAAAGTGCTTATCATGATCCAAACATGAACAAGTCAAGACAAAGACAGGAGTTCCCAACATGCGGCCCACTGACCAGCACAAGAGAGTGGGGAGTGCTGGGTTGAGTATAACTACATGTTTTGAAATGTTTCACCTATTTTTTTCAAATAAACACTTTAGAGGGCTAGGTCAATTTTTTGAAATATATATTAAACGAATACAGGACATTATCTTAAATTGACAAAGCGAAAAAAATGCTCAAACATAACTTGATTATGATCCACTTCCTAGTGTGGTTCACAGGATGTGAGAAAATAGGCAAAAATGTTGATCATTGTTTTCCAAATTATAGGCAGATGTTTGCTCGTGTCAAATTTGGATAAAACACCAAGACAATCAGTCAAGCTTTCATGAAGGGCTACAGCAGCCTGAGAATATTTATTGTTGGGAGCCTGAAATACAAAGATTGATACAATTTTAAATTAAAACAATGTCTCTAAATGATTCATAATCAAAATAGTTAATAATTTGATCATAAATAATTTTTGCATCTTCAAAGTGAGCCCCCATATAGTTCCAGACCAACCCCAAAAGGTGAACATGCGCGATGTAAAATGTGCAGTTATATAATCCATATAAAAAATTTAAAAAATTTCTATAGCTTTACTCCTCCCAATCTCTCCCAATAACTTATCTGAAGGCACTTTTAAAACACATTGGAACTGTCCTGTACTTGAACACTAAAAAACAGATTACTTGTATAAAATGTATAGAAATGTCCCATGTATAGTGGATGAGGAGGTGTCTGGGTAAGAGCTGTGGCCAACAGCAGTTTTGCTGTGAGTGCCTTGGGCAGCAGCCCTGTTCCTTGACACGAAAATGAACTTAAACCTGTTTTTACACCAAGCGCACGGGCATCAGTCTACCAAAATAGGGCCCTATGCCCTTAATACTAACTGGTCACTTGTGGTCAAAAAGGTTAGGAAGCCCTGCCTTAATGCACAGCTCAAAGACCCAAAGACAGAACAGACACACTCACCGCTTGCTGTTCAGACAGCAAGGATCGGCCCATAGCTTGCGCTTCGGTGCAGTCTGGGGGCTGGGGTCTGGGCACAGAGGAGAAGTCCGAGCCGCCATGCTTGGCCGCCGCATGGCGCTGGCTAAGGGTGCGGTTGCAGGGGTAGGAGAAGGAACGGGTGGGGGTCGGCATGGGAACGCGGGGTCGCCAGGCGCCTTTGAGCTGAGCGTGGCTGGGCGTAGCAGGGGGATGGTAAGGGGGAGGCGGGGGAGGCAGCGGCAGGTGGAAGCCCGCTACACCTTCCAACTCTGTGAACATGCTATCCATGGCCGGGCTGCTGTTTACTCGACATCGACCCACCTGGCGCAGAGCCAGAATTGGACTCTCATCTCCGAATCGTTCGTCGGGAAAGAACTTGTACGGGTTCTAAAAAGATAACATTTCATTAAAAATACAAAACAAAACAGTTGTGCCACCTGGGCTTTTATCTGCTTGAAATTCTACAGCCCTTCCCCATTCTCCCCCTTGCTTTCCCCTCCTCACCTGTAGAAGTTCGGTGGCTCCGTCAGCCAAACCGAACTCCCGGAGCACTCGCAACTGCAGCTCGTAACTGACGGTGGCGCCCTCGCCGCAGTTGAGTGCGTACGCTCGCTGCACTTGCTCCGTGTGTCTCAGTTCCTGCAGCCTCCGGATCATCTCCTTCACCACTGAGAGCTGCGGTACTGCAAGACGGAAATCAGAATTAAAATGCAAACACATGAAATGTAATCATACTTGAGGTCTGCGAGTATTTGTTCTGAGGCAACTCAGGAAATGAATCCCGTCAGACTACAGTGCTTAGCCGCAGTTTATCATTAACGACCACATTATGTTAAGTAGCGCAGATTTCAGTGGTAGTATTGGTAATTTTTTTTTTTTTTGGCAATATCTTTATTTACTGTAATGCCGTCGCATGTAGGAAAAGGAAAGCCTCGGCCCGCAGCAAATTTTATTTACATTGAAAGCTTGCAACCTTTGGGTTCAAATTTACCTTAAGTTTAAAACGTGTTTCAATTAGGTTCAAAAATGTTTAACGCATGTGTCAGGAGTGAAACTTAAAAAAATATGTTTTTATTAAACAGCAGATTGCTATATTGCAGGTGTGTCTGGAAAGAACCTACTGCGATAAACGGGAGGCCCTCGTAACTGACGGTGGCGCCCTCGCCGCAGTTGAGTGCGTACGCTCGCTGCACTTGCTCCGTGTGTCTCAGTTCCTGCAGCCTCCGGATCATCTCCTTCACCACTGAGAGCTGCGGTACTGCAAGACGGAAATCAGAATTAAAATGCAAACACATGAAATGTAATCATACTTGAGGTCTGCGAGTATTTGTTCTGAGGCAACTCAGGAAATGAATCCCGTCAGACTACAGTGCTTAGCCGCAGTTTATCATTAACGACCACATTATGTTAAGTAGCGCAGATTTCAGTGGTAGTATTGGTAATTTTTTTTTTTTTGGCAATATCTTTATTTACTGTAATGCCGTCGCATGTAGGAAAAGGAAAGCCTCGGCCCGCAGCAAATTTTATTTACATTGAAAGCTTGCAACCTTTGGGTTCAAATTTACCTTAAGTTTAAAACATGTTTCAATTAGGTTCAAAAATGTTTAACGCATGTGTCAGGAGTGAAACTTAAAAAAATATGTTTTTATTAAACAGCAGATTGCTATATTGCAGGTGTGTCTGGAAAGAACCTACTGCGATAAACGGGAGGCCCGTCGTAACCTGAAAGGGAACAAGGAATATAGAAATTTCAAAGTCTCCGTCAAAGACCTCACCTGGGATTTCATTGGCTACAACTGATGGAGCAGTGACCGAGTTAACGGTCATCTGCTGATGGTTAACCATGTGACAGCACTGCGGCACAGCGTTGTTGACCATGTAGAGGGTGTCTGGGACGTTGGACATGCGCACAAGTCGCAAACGCACCAGGTCAGTTTGCTCCACCATCATTTCATCCAGCACCAACTGAGGGGAGAGAAATGGGAGCTTGCTTTCAAAGAGTATGCTAACGTTTCACACTTGAAGGACAAGCTTGTCATGAATCTATCCAGGCTGTTGGCACGTTCAGAAATAGAATTACATTTTTGAGCGAGCATACAGTTGCGAGAAAAAGTATGTGAATCCTTTGGAATTACCTGCATACATTGGTCATAAAATGTCATCTCACTCACAACAATAGACAAACAGTCTGCTTGAACTGATACCAAATAAACAGATGTTTTTTCATAGAACACCATTCTCACAGGTTGACAGTGTGTGCCATCATCTGACAGCCCAATCAATCAGTGTCCTACCTTTGCCTCTTCCACGTAAGGAGAGAAAAGGCGAGGACGCACATAGATGCCGGCGTTCTTCTGCCTCAACCAAGCATTGGCCTTCCCCCCCTCGGCTGTTGGCAACATATCTGACGGAGGAGTGCTAATCAAGCCTCGCTTGAGCTGTGAATGAGAACAGGGAGTCAGACCGCCATGATGCAGCATTGCAGAAACTGGTCAGAAAAGGCAGCGAAGGAGCGCTAACCGCGTCGGAGAGGACATCGCTGTGCGGAGGCAAAATGTGCTCGGTTCGAATGAAGGGCAGGAGAGGGGAAAGGATGTCCTTAAGCTCCTCCACGTCGAGGTCTCTCCTCTTCACTCCACGTTTGTTGACGCTGTGGGCTGTGCCGCTTAACAGATTGGGCTCTGCGCAAATGTGAAAATGGACAGCCACATTTCAAACCACGCGGCCCATCAAAGCGTTCCCCACAAATTGAAGTCTGATTTTGGCCAGGGGATGAATCATTTTGGGATTAATTGCATGCCTGTTCACCTTATATTTTGATGAGCATCCACAGATTGATGACATCTTTAAAATATCACAATTATACTAAAAAAAGTATATTAAAATAAAATAGTTGACATTTTTGAAATAGCTAGAACTTAAAAAAAACATGCAGAAACGGGACAAACTGTACGTAATGTGAATGGAATTTGCTTCAAATATGTTTTGGAACTGATCAAGATGAGCAACCATTTGAATTTAACATGGAAAATTCAATTTTAAAAGGTCCAACCATTATGTCTGTCAAATCTCAATCGATCAATTATTCATTTGTTATGCTTATCAAGGATCACCACAGCCCAAGGGGAATTATAATTCGCTAAATCCAAGGAAAGAAAATGGCAGCACCACTGTGATTTCACAGGTGACAAATGTTCAGTGAAGCGCTGCTCTTTTAGGTTCAAATTCGGCCAGTGTTTGATATGCTTTTAAGTATATTTTGGAGGCTGTAGTAATTTTGAAATGGCCTCAAAATCATTGGCGGCTGTGCTCAGAGCATAATTATTGAGTGTATTATCTTACCCCTGTCTGCCATCCTTTTAATAAGCTGCTGCTCGCCCCACTTAACAACATACTTGAGAATGTCCTGCTCACTGGCCTGCAAATGAGACGGAGACACAGCGAAAGGGAGGAGGGGGAGCAGAAGGAAGGAGGGGGGGGTTCAGGGAGACAACATAATTATCAGGACAAGGAGGTCAGATATTGTCAGGGGGGAAAAAAGAAAACAGCAGTTAAATGAGGATAAGGTGACAGGGCAACATGTTTGGACAGTGTTCCAGCAAGGTGCAGGCCCGGTTGACTTGTGTAGTTGGATTTCAACATTTCACCTCAACTGTCTAGCCGGAGGCCGAAGTAGCCTGGCACAACTGATGACAGCACAAAAGCTATTTTACTTTGCAAATGCTGCACTCAACGCTAGAAGGGGTATAATAGTGAGCAGCAAATCACTCGCGAATGTATCCACAACTATTTGGATGAGGATGGAGATTGTACTATTTTGTGTACATACATCACCACAGTGGATTTTAAACCAAAAAGAAAGATGTGATAGGAGTTGAGACATTTAGCTTTCGTTGAAGATGTTCTTCTATTTTGGAATTACAGCCATTTATTGTGGACTACCTAAATTTTCATATCTGAAATGATTTGGACATTTGAAATATCCAAGTACTGTTTCTTTCATTCTCAGTAACATGAAAGCATCATGGATTGAGATCAGAATACTTAATTATTCGCTTTTAAAAAGTCTGAAGATGACTGCAATGAAAGACTTGGCAAAGCACCGCTAGGGAGGAATTTGGTGAGCTGTAAACTTGAAGGTTTTCATCAAATGTTAAAAAATTGTGTTTGCATTTAGAATTATGTCACATTGTCCAAATATTTGTTGATCCCCTGGAAATTGAGGAACCATGGATAAAATGGCTTAGCAGTAAGCTCCAGCGTATTTGTGGTTCACTATTCACAAATTCACCTCTTTGCATTTCTTTCTATGAACCTACATCGTCAGCTATTCATTACCAAAAAAAAAAAAAAAATCATAGGTTCTCTGAAAAACTCATCTATTTGCACATTTTTATGCTTCTTTCGTAACATCCCAAGATTTCATAACAGCGCCAAAGATGTGTTGGGTGTCAAGTCAGTGTTTGCGCTGCCCACTCTCCGCCTCGCAACAGAACTCTGAATGCATTGGCCAAAATTTGAGACAGCTGTAAAAGAAGACAAAACAGACGGCGGCACCGGCACGGCTCTGTTTGCTCACCTGTAGGTAGTCTGACTGGATTGCGCTGAGAAAGTGCTCCTTACTGAGCTCATAGAGAATATCGGAGGTGACAACTTGACTGAACTCCTCGCAGAGGAAGTGCATGGCCTGCCTGTGTACCCACTTGGAGCCATAGGGTTGTGAGCTCCACTTGAGGATGGGCACCAGTGAGTCGAGAGACAAGCTTTCCACGATAATGTCCTCACAGCCTGCGGGGCGACAATGTGAGAAGAAAGTCAGTGAGACAGGTTTTGACATTCAACAAATTCAAAGCTTTGATTCACGACGATTTTCACATAAAGCATTTGAATACGAAAAACCATTCGCAAGGCACATGCCAGCATTTTCCCCCTCTCACGTTCACACACTCAGGGAGTCTCTTTCAACTAACCTCCACATTCTCCTTGCTGTTTCTTAAATCAGAGCACATACCAGAACAGCAGGCAGTGGTTTAACTCGGCAACACAACGACCCGCAGAAATGCCTTGAGAGCTTGATGTGTCTTTTTGCCTTTTCTTAAAACATCATGAATAAACATGGGTGCCTGAGTAAATGTGTGCATGGATGAAACATACATTGGGGAGGGGGGAAAAACCCCACACAGGCATGATTTGATGACATTTCCAGAGGTGATCTTAAAATGGCACACATGATGGCAGGTCACTGATGTCAAAAACGACAATGGACAAAAGTATTGTTGATCAACTCTAATCCATTATTTTTCGGGAATTAAAAAAAAAAAGTGGAATGAACACTTGCTTGTAAAAATCCTCCATAACAAACACAATTAAGAGAAAATAGTTCACTGGTGCTTCTCACCCAAAATGTCCCAATTGTGCGAGTTGAGATTTTAGGTTAAGAGTGGGCATTTGAAATACCACAGCAATTTCCACCCATTGATGTCTAAGAATTTTGGCAATTGATGGATATTTTTCACCTAAACTTGTCAGCCAAGTGGAGTACGGTTCCCCGAGTAGAAGACGGAACTAAAGGGTCGAAGAGAACGTTGAGAAATATTGATGTTAATACCGTTTTCACTCTAATTTGACCAGATTTTCTATATGCAAATTTACACCAAAACATTCCCCAAAATGTTGAATTTTTCCAACGGTGGGGGGCATGTGGGGGGAAAACAAAACATCCCACGCAATTTCTCCGGAACACAGTGCGTTCTTTAACATTTTTTTGATGCCTTGTAATCAGCTTGAAGTAACCAACCGCAATCGGCATTTTCAAAGAAAATGTTTGTACCTGATTCAGAACAATTAACATTGCAAATATCAAGCAAGAAAAATATGCGCCGAAAGTTAAGTTTTGGGGATCATCGTGAGGTAGTGGTTAACAATGCTGTCACAGGCGAGTGTTTCCGAGTTTAAAACGGGCCTCTGGCCTTCCTGTGTGGCGTTTGCAAGCTCTCCACCATGCTTGCGAGGATATTATCCAGGAACTCTGGCTTCTTCTTGCATTCCAAACATAAACTAAATTGTTCACTAAGGATGCCAAAATATACGTCCAAATATTGATGGCCAAATTTTTTGAGGCAAAATATGTAGTCTTGAAATGCAAACACCTTGGCGGTTTATCGGTTTGCTGGGAAAAAAAGTATGTTTGACTTTGAAAGTTCTTCTGTATTTTTTTTCCTTTCAGTTCTTGTGCAATACTGTACTTTTGTCCTCATAGTATACCTATGCTTTAAGTTCTCCAGGGACACACATTTGAAATGTATTTCTAAATTAAAAAAAAAAAACAAAACCTCAGCAGTCTATTCAAATGCAAATTGAATGGATAAGCTGTAGCGCTTAAGGCGTCTTTCGTTTTATCAGCAAGTTACAGTAACAGATGTTGAGAAGGAAGGGGGGAAAACCCAGAATAGTTTGGAAAAGCAAAACAATAAGCAATGGCACTTTGCCTTTTCGTCGGTGATAAACTAAATGACTGTTCTAGGTTCCCCGCCAGCTGTGTCTCCATCTTTGACAGTGTTCTCTGCCGTCTATCTTCTTCTGACGTTGAGCTCTGTGCATCCTTGGCCACACATGCACAAAAGTAAACACTTGAAGACAACAGCTTTGCTCCGCAGTCACCCATTCCAATTCAGAGCAGCCTCCTATCTAAAGAGACAGCGCTTTTACTTTGAGCTGGAAATTAAAATTTGCTGTTTTAGTCCGTGTGAACTCTCTACAGTTGGTAACCGTACACAATTGTTGTACAATTGAGCCACTTCAATGGATGAAACCTTACTTATTATGCAGCGCCCCATGTGAGTGGAGCCTCCAACCGCTAAAAATCACTTTAAATGCAAACCGCAGCTGACGGCTTGTAAACAAGCCCGTGGATGTAAATCATGTGCGTGGATCACTCGAGCAATGGCGCTTTGAATGAATCAGGCTGCAACCACAAGCAAGAGGCTCGATGGTCAGCGAAGGGAAGCAAAGAACAAAACCGCACTGCTTTTCTCTGCAGGGCACTTGAAAAATTAATAAGGCTTTTAATATTGCCTGATAGCTAGTTGAGGTGGAAATCATAAAGGGACAGATGTCTGAAGGATAAAGACGGATGATGACGTTGGGCTTCTGCAGTAACACCTCCA